AATTAGTGTTAATGTTAACTCCACCAAGAATATTTAAAAACACTGAAGCACGTGTTCATCTTTAATGTCTACGTCTCAGATTTACAGAGGAACAAATGGTGAGAGTGAGTTTAGATTCAGCTCTGACTGATTCAACCACAGGTACTTCCTGTCTCCTGACAGACAGGTTACACTGACTGGAGCCGTCGACCGTTCCAAGATGGCGGCCCTACGGCTCGTCAGCGCCGGTCAATGCTGGATCTAGTGTTTATGTCTATGTGTCCACTACCTGCATCACCTGGAACGCCCTGGTATATGACAACAGCCAATCAGTGATGGAGAAAGGTCAGGGCGGCTTTGAACCAGTAATGATGAATGATTGTTTGAAATGTGTTTAAAAGGTTAACTCAAAAATCACCGATCTGACTCCAAATACGCCCAAATGATCCCCACCCTCCCAAAGCAAAATCTGAATGAAATCCGCCCAAACTGGCAGCACTGTAACCGGAAGTTGTCACTCAGGACTTCCTGTTAGACCACAAGGTTTTCCAATGACAGGTTTAAATGGGCTTAGAGTGAGTGCATGTACCCTGCAGCTTCTGAGGTTGTGCTTTGGACTTTGAATCCAAAAACTACTTTCATCTGCGCAGCCGCAGATTAACAATTGTTAAAAACAAGTTAGCTTTTATTTTGATAGCGAGTACCGGAAGCGACTCTTAATATTGCGAGCCTGCGCTCGCGGCGGGCGGAAGTGAAAACGCAACAAGCAAGAACTTGTGAACTTTTTGAGTTCGGAGTTGTTTTCGGGCTGGTTCCGAAGTGACATGGTCTGCTAAGGTTCTGAAAGAGTTCGGTTCCGGTGAAAACATGTCGGCTTCAGACCCGCGGGGACAGTTCCTCTTCAATCTGCCCTCCTCCGTCCTTTGGGAGTTCTGCCGAGTCATGGACGGGCTGTCGGACCTGGACTGGACCCGGTTCGGTAAGTCCCGACCAGAACATAACTGGCTTACAAACGGACAGGTCCGGCTGATCGGACCCGGCCCCAATTAGATTTATCCGTTTTTTCTTAATGAGGTCACGCCTGAGTTCCTGTCACGTGATTCGTGACGTCACCGAGCAGGTTGCAGTTGACTGATCTGAGGCGCAGAGTCAGAGTCCTGGTCCATACATACCGGGACAACTCAACCATAGACAACAAAGTCCACGCTCAATAATCCAGGTATACAACCCAACATTTTCAGTCAGGTCATCTGGACAGTTTCTTTTTTTGTCCTGAGGCATGCTCAATAATCCAGGTAGAAAAATCCAGAAAAATTCAATCTGGTCCTCTGGACATTCAAAAAACAAAACAACAAAAAAAAGTAGAAACGTTTCGTCTCTCATC